GCCATGATTGATATATCTTGCACAACTGTCTCTAGAAATTAATGGAAAAACAAGGTGCTTGAACTAAGGGAATTTGCAACCACCAATCCAACTCTACAGAGAATACTGCAGGACATTCTAAAAGAGAAAAATACCAAGATTCCAGAAACAGTGGAAGAGAGGCCACAATGAATGGAGCAGAAAGTGAAATGAAGAAGACAAACTGACAACTAGTGACAGAAAAAGAGCTCAATAGAAATGAGGCAGGGAAGGTTGGATGGTATGAACAGTTATTTTGGAGAAAACAAGACATCATAATAGCTAATGCTGATTTAATATCATCATGTTTTGAAGTCCCATCAAGCTTTTGTTCTTCTGTCTCCATCGGTCTTAACATGTTGTATTTTATTGGATTTTATTATATGTGATAATATAAACAAAAACTTTTATAGACAAGGAGATAATACAGAAACCATTGTCCATTTTCTGTTAGTTGTTGCTAAATACTCTGTAATACTGTCATTCTCTTGAATGGTTTTACACAGTCTTGATATGTTTGATGCTACAGTATACAAAGTTAAGATTTCAAGGAAAGAGACACTATGCTAACTACTTTTATGTCGGGATATCTTGTGGTGAAACACTGTTTTGTTTAAATGGTTATGTTCTGACCTGTGCTGTTTGTTGTCATGTCCTCTTTTATCTCAATCTCCTTTTTCATTATTTATTTTTTATTTTTATCTTTTTAATTGAGGGAAAAATAAATAAAAATAGCAGGATATATTATAGTAACCCACTTTGATTTCTTATTAACTTGATTTGAAACCCTGTATTGCTCTCATCATCTTGTTTTGACTGATTTTATTCTATTCTGTTTTGCTTGATAGTACCAAGTTTGAGAGTATAGGCAACAACTGTGAAGACAATAAGATTCATTATGATGCCCACTCTGGTTTGACTATTATCTTCTTTTGAAGTCCTGTAATGTCTCCAATGTTTTCATTTTATTGGTTTTGTTCTTTACTATTGTGTTCAATTTTATTATAACTGATGATACAGGCAATTCTTTTTAAGATAGCAAGAGGCATTATGGTAATCATTGTTGATCACCTTTTATTCTGTTTTTACATCATGTTCTATGTCCATCCTTTTGATTTGACTGACTCTGTTTTGTTATGTCACATTTGGTTTTATTCTCTTAAAAAAATATTAAGAACTGTGGGGGTAACAAAACCCAAAATGTGTAATTGTTATTGTAAAAAAGGGAGGAAAAGAAGTGCTCTAAAGGATATAACTGCATGTATATTTAAGTGTATAAGATAGATAACCATATTACTGAGTTTTTGTTGGATCATTGAACAGAACTGTTTGTAGTCTCACTGCTTGAATGTCCACTTTTTATGCTTTGATTTTGTAACTTGAACAACTATTTCTAAGATGACAATATGTAATCTATTAACTAGTGATTTCCTACTGTTTTTTTTTTTGAAATTCTGTATAACGTACCATTTTTCTGGTTTTTTTCCTTTTTCTCCTTAAATAAAATTTTTAAAAATATATAACAATAAGGTTGTTTTGGTTGATGCAGGTTTGTGGACCTGGAATTCTGGCCACTAGCACCCCCTTTGCCTTCACCTGCTGCCAGAGTAACTTTTTGCCCCTTCAGAACTTTAAGGAACAGAATTTAAAGATTGATAAGATTTATCCCAAGGACATTTCCATGTTTTGATGGAAAAGCTACAATTTCTAAGCTCCTTCTTTACTTGCCAGGCTAATGTCTGTAAAAGTTTTAACCCTCCCACTAACCCCTTCTGAACAACATTACTATCATTTTGTTAAGTGAGAAAACCAAAATTTAAAGAATAATTTGCCCAGTGTCCCTTAAGTAATAAACTGGAACTTGACACTAACAACTGTCTAACTCCAAATTCTGTCTTTCTACCGCATGAACATAAATAAGAAATCTCTAATCTCCTCCTGGCAATAAAATTCTATAGTGTCAAGATGCTTTTTAAAGAGAGAAGTATAAAACATTGATGGTAACATAAATACTGAGTCACAACCCAGATACAGAGGGAATTCTAAGTACAAGGCAGAAGCGGGTTTATAGAAGGGATTTGGGGGCAGACAGAGAGAGATCAGTTTTACTAGTGAATTTAGTCACTGGCTCTTTGCTAATTCATTATAGAGAGAAATGGCTTTTTAGATGTTTCCCTCCCAAATAGTTTTGCTTAGTTTCAACTTTTCGATAGGAACCATGATTTATTTTTCTGTGTGTGGCCATTGAAGTCTTGCACAGCTTACCCTGATGGACCTACACTATGAAAGATTCTGCTCTGATTTCCTGGGTCATAATTTTCAAGATGCTGCCTTAAGTGCCAGAGACATAACAGCTGTCCTTGAAGTTCTTATGCTCAGGTTAGCACAAGGGAGACCTCTATGTAGGAAAGCAAGGAATTCATACTGCCTACAGCACTAAGAAACAGAAAGAAGACCGTAACATGACTGCAGAGGTGTGGGAGAACCCTGTGCTCTGGTCCAGTCAGGAAGGAGTTTGTGGACAAAACAAACTCACTGAGCCTCCAGGATCGACTGGCTTCAAGTAAGAAGAGAGGAAATGCGAGGATAATTTTAGGTGAGAAATCAGGCAACCGACAGAGCCAGTTGGCTGGAAGAGAAAGCTGTGTGTGCCAGCATTATTATATATTGGCAATACCAGAAGTATTCCTGCTGACCCTCTTTTCATGTCATGATGTAGGCCTAGTAACAGCACCTTGCTCTATATGAGCTGATCTTCATTCTTTGGGAAAATTTAAAATAGCATCTTGCAAGAAGGAAAAGCCTACTTCTACATATGTTTTCCTTATTTGTACCTTGAGGCATGAATTACATGCATCAAAATCTTCCTGTAACAGAACTTTAGGATTATATCCATTTCCTAGAGCTGACGTAGCAAAGTACTGCAATCTGGGTGGGTTAAAACAAGAGAAATTTATTCCCTCTGTTCTGGAGGCTAGAAGCCTGTCGAAGTGTTGGCAGGGCCATCTCCCTCTGAAACATGAAGAGGAGACTCTTTCCTCGCCTCTTCCTAGATGCTGGTGGTCACTGGCAGCCCTTGGAGTTCCTTGGCTTTCTACCTCCAGCCACTCTCAGCCTCTGCCTTCATGATTGTCTTCTTCCTGCGTGTCTCTCTCTATACCTTGTAACCATACTAGTCGTTTAGTATCAGTAGTCCACCCTGTTCCAGCGTGGCCGCATCTTAACTCGTTGACCTGCAGTGACCTTGTCACCTTCTGAGGACAGGGGTTCACAGAGTGCCTAGGTTGAACAAGGGAGACTTATCTGTCAGGCAGTATTCATACGAATCCTGTTAGTGAGAAGCACAGAGATTACCGTAGAACTGCAAAGCCTGGAGAGATCACTGCTCTGGTCCCATTGGGAGAAGCTTCACTGAAGGAGAGCTCAAACTGGCCTCTAATCCAGACAGGACTCTAACATACTTAGAAGGACACAGGGCATCCCATAATGTAATGAATGAGATGCTTACAGAATCCCAGAGGGATTACAGAATGGATGAAGAAAGGGGGTCGTGGGGCTTTGACAATGAGTGAGAGTCTACTTCAGACACTGTTCTCAAGAGCCCAATCCCTTCATCCCACAGACTTCTGTTTGACTCCTTGAAGATAGTTGTTTCAGGTGAAATTAAAAGAATAATTTCTCCTCAAATACATGTATACACTGCATAATGTTTAAGTCAGGTTAACATGCTTATTCCTTCAAACATCATTTCTTTGTGGTGAACCTTTTAAAATTCTTTCTTCTAGCTTTCTGAAATGCGCAGTATATAGTGTTACTTTTGGTCACCCTGCTGTTCAACAGCACCCCAGCGATCCTTGCAGAGATCTGACTGTAATTGAGTACCCGCTGGTCAACTTTTCTCCACCCTACTCCCCTCGTTGCATTGCTAAAATGAGGTCACTAGTATTCATTTACATTTATAGGTGATGTGCCATTCTGTTATGGAACTTTTTCCTTTGGTGTTGCCTGTCTGTGTACATTCTGCTTTATTTATTTATTTCTTTATTTTGTACCAAAATCAGATTCTATGTTATTTGGCAAGCAGTAAGAACTAATCATGTTCCATGTCAGGCAAAGCACTCAGTGTCTGGAGCTTGGGACACCCTGCATGGTGATTATGAGACCTTTCCCCAGAGCCTGCCTGCTGTTTCAGAAGCTCCCATGGTAAACCTGACATGCACCGAGGTTCTTTATCCACTTGAGATTTCTGACCATAATGCACAAGCCTGCTGATGCTCAGAAGAACTCTCCTACTAATTTTTTTCATGGACACCATAACAATGAAGCTTCTATCAAGGCTGTCGTTGCAACTTGCCCTTGCGTTTCAGTGGAAGAATATCAGATTATATCATGTGAGATGGTGGCAGAGGGCTACTACTCTTACCCAAAGTGACTCCAGCAGATTGAATTCGGTGCTCTTTCCAGATTCTTCCTTCCTTTGGCTGGGCCAGATTGCATGGGTTTTCAAGTGATGTGAGGCTGGAGTCTTAAAACATTCAGTGGTCTCCAAATCAGTACCTCAGCCCCTTAGAACTCCTGCCTTCCTCTCTCTTCCTTCTTCCTTTTCCCAGCTTCACTCTTTGCCTCACGACCCTAAAATTTCATAGAGATTTGAGGAGAAATCACTCTTTTAATTTCACCTGAAAAAGACAGATTGGTGAACAATACGTTGTGTTAGCTGGGCCAAGCATCTGGCATTCTGCACACTCTAGGTGGAAGTAAGGAGCGGGTTTAACAATAGCTATCAGAATTATGCATGCATTCAAATGTGGACCTCTTAGGAAACCCTAAAATATGTCCCCATCAATATGGAATGTGTTTGCCCAAAGCCATAATTGCAGTTATGTGTAATAACAAAATATTAGAAATACAAGTACCCACCAGTAATGTTTTAATTCTTTAATGATTAATAAGGCACTAATACACAATGGTGTTCTCCACAGCCATATGAAGAATGAGAAAGAGTTCCACAGATGCTGAGCCAGGATGCACTAAGCGTAAGAAGATGGAAAGCAATGATGCTGGTGCACTATAATGTGTACAAAATCAGAGAAAATTGGAATATAAATATAAAATATGTAAGTATATTCTTCATACAAATATACACAGATGTTCCTGATAAATTGATCGTGAACTGAAAATATGATGTCAAGGTTCATTTAATATGCATAACCTGCCAACTGTCATAGCTTAGCCTAGCATCAAACAGTAGACTACATCTGAGCAATATTTTTTAAAGTTTTTTTATGTAAAGAAAGAAAAAAAAACAGAAAAAGGGTAGAAATAATACATAATTTCAAAAAAAAGTAAGAATCACTAGTTGATAATTACATATTGTCCTCTTACAACTAGTTGTTCAAGTTACAAAAGTGAAGCATACAAAGTGGACATTCAGACAGCGAGACCAAACAGTTCTGTTCAACTATCCAACAAAAACTCAGTAATATGGTTGTCAGTCCTATACAGTTAAGCATACATGTAGTTATATCTTTAGAGCACTTTCTTTTCCTCTCTTTTTTACAACAGCAATTACACATTTTGAGTTTTATTACTCCTACAGTTCTTATTACTTTTTACACTAGAGACGCAAGGTGATATTTACAAATGTGGGTCTTTTTTATTTCACTACTGAGGATAGCCTCAAGTTATCTCCATTTGCCTCTGAAGGCTTCAAGATCATCCTTTTTATAGCTCAGTAATATTCCATTGTATAAAAATACCACATTTTTTTCATCTACTCTGTGTTGAAGGGCATCTTGGTTGTTTCTAAGATTTAGCTTTTACAAACTGTGCTGCTAGAACATGGGTGAACATATATCACTGTGATATGACCTTTTCAATTTTTCTGGGAAAATACCCAGGAGGGGAATAGCTGGATTGAATGGAACTTCCAATCCCACTCTTCTGAGAATTCTCCATACTGATTTCCATAGGAGCTGTTCAGTCTATACTCCCCGCAACGGTGGAGCAGTGGTCCTTTTTCCTTGCAGCCTCGCCAACATTTGTTCAGTTGATTTCTGGATGGCAGCTATTCTTTCTGGAGTGAGATGAAATCTCAGTGCTGTTTTAATTTACATTTCTCAAATGATCAGTGATGGTGAACATTTCTTCACGTATTTCTTTGCCATTTGTATATCTTTATCTGAGAACTGTGTGTTCATCTCAGATGACCATTTTTGGAGAGGGTCTTTGAATTTGGGGGCTTGATATTTTTCAATTCTTTATATGGTCTGGATATAAGTCCTTTGTTTGAGGCGATGCTGGCTATAATTCTGTCCCATTCTGTGGGCTTTCTTTTCACTCTGTTGGTGATTTCTTTTGAAGTGAAGAAAATTTTCAATAATATGAGATCCCAGTTGTTGATTCTCTGAAGTGCTTCCTGTAAAGTTTGCATTTTGTTCATGAATTCTCTGCCTACCCCTATGTCTCCAAGACTTCTACCTACGTTGTGTTCCAGTAGATTTAGTGTTTCTGTTTTAATATTTAGGTCTTTGATCCATTTAGACTTCAGTTTTGTGCATGGTGATAGGCATGGATCTAGTTTCAATCTTTAGCATGTGGAGAGCCAATATTTCCAACACCATTTATTAAAGAGGCTAACCTTCTTCTACTGAACACGTTTAGCTCCTTTGTCAAATACTAGGAGGCTGAGTATCTTTGTAGTTGTGTTTGCATCTTCTAATCTGTTCCATTGATCGACAGGTCTATTCCTTTGCCAGTACTATGCTGATTTTATCACTGTGGCTTTGTAGTATAGTTTCAAGTCAGGAATTGAGATGTCTCCTGCCTTGCCTTTGTTGCCCAGAATTACCTCTGCTATTCTAGGTTTCTTCTGTTTCCAAATGAATTTTAAGAGTGTTTTCACTAGATCTGTAAGGTATGTTAATGATATTTTTATTAGGATTACATTAAACCTGTGTAACAGTTTTGGGAGTATGGCCATTTTCACTATGTTGGTTCTTCCTAGCCAAGAGCAAGGAATAGCCTTCCATTTTCTAATATCCACGTAGCATAATTTTCAGCATATAGGTCTTTTACATTCTTAGTTAGATTGATTCCTAAGTATTTCCTTTTTTTAGGTGCAATTGTGAAGGATGATATTTCCATAATTTCTCTCTTGGTGAGTTTTTTGTTTGTGTACAAGAATGCTACTGATTTTTGAGTGTTGACTTTGTATCCAGCTACACTTCTGAATTTGTTTATTACTTCTAGTAGTCTTTTAATCGAATTTTTTGGATCTTCTATATAAAGTATCATGTCATCTGCAAATAGTGATAATTTAACTTCTTCCTTTTCTATCCTTATTCCTTTTATTTCTCTCTCTTGTCTGATAGCTCTGGCTAGTATTTCTAGAACTATATTGAACAGAAGTGGTGATAGTGGACATCCTTGTTTTGTTCCTGATTTTAAAATGAAGGCTTTCAGTTTTTGTCCATTTAGTATAATGTTGCCTGTTGGTTTGTCATAGATGGACTTTATAAGATTGAGGTAGTCACTGTGTATTCTGAGCTTCTGAATGGGTTTATCATGAACGTGTGTTGGACTTTATCAAAAGCTTTTTCTACATCTACTGAGATGACCATGTGTTTTTTGTTTTTGCTCTGTTTAAGTGGTGTATTTACATTTATTGATTTATGTATGTTAAACCATCCCTGCATTCCTGGGATGAATCCCACTTGATCATGATGTATAATTTTCTTGATGATTTGCTGCATTCTATTTGCCAGTATTTTATTGAGAATCTTTGCATCAATGTTCATTAGTGATACTGGCCTATAGTTCTCATTTTTGGTTGGGTCTTTCTCTGGTTTGGTATTAGAGTAATACTTGCCTCCAGGAATGATTTAGGGAGGATTGCTTTCTTTTCAATTTCATTGAAGATTTTAAGGAGTATTGGCATCAGATCTTCTATAATTTCTTATAGAATTCAGCCATGAATCCATCAGGACCTGGGCTTTTCTTTGTTGGCGAGTTTTTAATTACATTTTCAATTTCAATACCTGATATTGGGTTATTAAAAATTGCTATATCTTCTTGGCTGAGCTTTGGTAGTTCATATGTTTCTAGAAATCTGTCCATTTCCACTCTATGTGAGTAGAGATTTTCAAAGTAGGTATTCATGATCTTTTGAATTTCCATGGAATCTGTTGTAATTTCTCCCTTTTCAGTCCCTATTGAGTGAATTTGGGTTTTTTCTTTCTTTTTCTTTATAAGGTTAGCTAGAGGTTTGTCAATTTTGTTTATTATCTCAAAAACCCAGCTTTTTGATTCATTAATTCTTCTTCTTTTTTTTTTTTTTTTTTTTTTTTTTTTTTTTTTTTTTAGTTTTAAGTGCATTGATTTCTGCTCTAATCTTTACAATTTCCTCTCTTCTATGAGCTTTGGGTTTAACTTGCTCTTCTTTTTTTAGAAGCTTGAGATTAAGCATTAGGTTGTTTATTTGTGCTCATTCTATTTTCTTGATATGACAGTTTATTGCTATATATTTCCCTCTTAAGACTGCTTTCATTGCATCCCACAGATTGCAGTATGTTGTTTCTGCATTTTCATTGAATTGTAGTATTGTTTTATTTCTTCTTTAATTTCATCTGTAGCCCAATGGTTGTTTAAAAGATTATTTAATTTCCATGTATTTATGCAGGTTTTGCAATTTCTTTTGCCATTAGTTCCAATTTCAGTGCACTACAGTCAAATATTATACATGGGATAATTTCAATACCTTTGCAGTTACTTAATGTTTCACGGGATAATATGTGGTCTATTTTCGAGAATGTCCCATGCCCAGCTGAGAAAAATGTGTGTTCTGGTGTGGTTTGGTGGAACACTCTAAACATCTACTAAATCCGATTGCTTGCAGGTATGATTCAGTTCTATTATTTCTTTTATCTAGTTGATCTATCTCTTTGTGACAATGGGATGTTAAGGTCCTCTGTTATAATTGTGTTTTTATGTATTTGGTTTTTCATGTCCATTAGTATCTGTCTTATATACTTGGGTTCTCCTGTATTTGGTGCATATATATTTATAATTAGTTTTTCCTCTTGAATTTTCCCACTAATGAGTATATAGTGGTCTTCTTTATTTCTTTTAATCATTTTAGGTTTGAAGTTCACATTGTCAGCAAATAGAATAGTTACCCCTGCTTTTTTCTGGGTTCCTGTTGCATGAAATACTGCTTTCCATCCTTTGACTTTCTTTCAATCTATGAGTTTCCTTTTGGGTCAGTTGTGTTTCTTTGTACACAGCATATTGTGGGATCTTGTTTCTTGATCCATTCTGTCAACCTATTTCTTTTGATAGGTGAATTGAGGCCATTTACATTTATGGATATCATTGATATGTACAGGCTCAACTTTGCCATGTTATATTCCAGTTGTTTGCTTTCTGCTTTTCCCCATTATTTAATTGCTTTTTCTACCTGGTGGTTTCTTTCTGTTGTTGTTCTGGGGATTGTGGTCATTTTTAGCTTCATCTAGTAATGTCTTTAATACTTTTTTCTAGGGTTGGTTTGGTGGACATGAATTTCTTCAATTATTCTTTGTCATGGAAGTGTCTTGTTTCTCCATGAAATTTGAATGAAAGTTTTTCTGGGTACATCAGTCTGTGTTGGAAGTTGTTTTCTTTCAGGGCTTGAAATACCTCACTCGGAGCTCATCTTGATTTGAGGGTTTGTGTTGAAAAGTCTACTGTGATTCTAATGGGCTTTACTTGATAGGTGAGTTGTGTCTTTTCTCTAACAGCTTTTAGTATTCTGTTTTTTTGCTGTATGTCTGAGATCTTAATTGTTATATGTCTGGGTGTAGATTTATGTTGGTTGTGACTGTTTAGCATTCTATATGCCTCACTTATCTGCATATCAGATTTTTTCCCCATGTTTGGGAAATTTTCTGCTATTACTTCTGTGAATATTTTAGTTATGTCATTTTCATTGACTCTTGCACTGTCACTGATGCCTATTAATCTTACATTGTTGCTCTTGGCATCATCTTTAAGCTGCTGGATTGTCATTTCATGCTGCTTTGTTATTTTTAAAAGTTCTATCCCTTCATGATCACTAATTGTGATCTTGTCCTCAAGG